AATCTCCTGTCAACTTGCAAAGGGGTGGAGTCTTGTGTGTCAATCAGGTCACAGCTTGATGACCTCAGTTGGAGGTGTGAAGGAGATAAATAGCTCACCAGAGACCAGATGCACTCTCTACTTACCTCCCTGTGAGGCATTCCTGTTGACAAGCCACATGGAGCTACACTGATGGAGCCAGAGCCCTGGAGCTGGAGGGGACACATGGGGACCCACACCAGTGCTGAGATGCTTCCACTGCCACTGGATCTACAAGACCTTCCACTCACTGGCCTGTGATCTTCCTGTATTCAACATCATTGCATGAGTTGCGTGAGTCCGAAGAGGAATGTATTAGATTGGTATCAGACAAATGGGCTGATATCAGAGCTATGGACTTGATCTGGATTGTGCTTGGATGTTTTCTTAATATAAAATTACTCTTTGATATATAGTTCTCTATTACACATATGTGAGTATCTCTGGATTTGTTTCTCTAGTTAACCCAGAATAACACAATAAGTCCAATACTAGTCCGTAGGTCCCCCTTCAGACTCACAGAACCACATGCAATGATGCAGAATGAAGGACTATAACAGGAGAGTGGGTACAACATTTTATGGATCCAACGGTGGTGGATGCATCTCCAGGGCCCTGGCAGCAACCAGGGTCTGCCTTCAGGAAGATGCAGGTAGAGAGAAAGAAAAGGGAGATTCCCAGGGCTCTCCTTGTTAGAAGGCCATGTACACAACGAGTCACCATCAGGCTGTGACCTGGTTAACCAGATAGGCTCCACCTGTACACCTTTACATATCTTCTAGTTGACATGAAATTACATAATTGCCACAGTTTTCTATTCCTATAAAGAGTTGTAGTCTCAGAACCTAACAGGGCCAGTTCTATCCTGGGCTAGAAGCTCTCTCTGCGTCAGCATTGACTTGATGGCTGTGAGGCTGGTGTTATTTTCTTCCTCCTCATGAAGCCAAAAGGGGTTAGATGTTGCCCACAGGCGATTCTTACAATTTATACAACAAACAGCTCAGCTCAAATATTTGCATTAACCACATACCAACCCCTCAAAACTGTGCTTCAGCTGATCAAACAGCGAAGTCCATACACTCCTCCTAACCCACGGAGGCCGAGCTCAGATGAAGTCGGAGGGAGTCAGAGCTTTCAACTCTCTGCACAATTGGTGTGTTTTTTGGACTCTGAGGAATTAGTGACTCATTGGTAAAAATTGTTTCTAATTTCCTCTCAGATTCACAGCATTCACAGAGGCTATAATATTCCATATATATATAAGATATATATGTATATACGATGCACACACACATAAGGCAAAATAGATGGCATCAAAAAAATGAAAGAACCTAGGTGAGACAGATTGACACAGTGGCTGCGACAATGGGCTCAAACAGCAACAATGGGGAGGCTGGGCCAGAACTAGGAGGTGTTTCATTCTATCGTAGGAATGAATGTCGCTAGGAGGGTAGAACTGCCCCTGCTAGTTCATGAGACTGTAACTCTTTCAGGAATCGAAAGCTATGGTAGTTACATAATAGCTATGGGTCAGCACCTAACAAGAACAACATAAATATATGTAAACTTAACACATTTTGCTTTTCTAGAGAACTCAGCTTAAGACAATAAGTAGAGAAGGGAAGTTTTTCTTAGCATTACATTAAAAAAATAGTAAGATGTTAACAATGATAGCTATGACCCAATTAAAGTCTACTCTATGAACTGTAACTTATTTTATCTATTAAAAACTTCAAAATAACCCTATGAGGTATCACTATTATTAACACAATTTTACAAAGAAGATGATAGAGAGGTTAACAAATTGTTCATGAATACAACTGGGACTGGAGGGAGGGCAACATTTAAACTTAGTCTCAGTTTGAACCACAAAGGCTAACCACTTCATCATCCTACTTTCCTAAGACTATTTTTAAAAAGGAAATTATTGACAAAACAAGGCGTAGAGTTAAGAATGGTGTTCCTACATCAAGACACGGGGGTCGCCAAGCAACCAGCGTGAAGAAAAGAGCCCACAGAAGAAAGGTCACTGGGAGATGTGAGGCGTTCGCATCAGAGTTTTAGTGAAAGGGGACTGACGGCGCTGGTGGTGAGTCAGCCGATTGCTTTCTAGACAGAACCAAGTAGGCCAGCATCACAGCAGATCCTTTGATAGCTTTCATGGAATTCCTACATGAAAACATTACTCTGGAATTCTGACTAGATGCATGTCAGCAGGCTGAAGGATTGGGATCTGAATGGTATCCTGAAGGAGCAAAACTAGAGGTGCGTCACTGCTGTCTTTTTAGAACCTTTCTAATTATCTGAATGAAAGTTTAGAGAGCAAATTGGTTTTCCAGTCAATAATTCATGTACATCAATTGTAGCCCCCACAAAGTGACAGCACGCTTTCCTCTTCCTCTTTGCAGTTAGCTTTTCTATTCATCCCTTCCAATCATTGGTTGATAAGTCTAAGACTTCGTCCATCCCTGGCATTACTGTTCGCCTGTGGGTCTGTCTACTGTTTGACTGATCGTTGAGCCACAGGAGTGAGTTCAGTTCTGGGCCTGAAGGGTGTCTAAGGGCCATAGTCTCAGTGGTTCCAACAATCTCAGTCAGATGAACAAATCTGGCCTATTTTATTACTTTGAGTTTTATTTCATTTTCCCCCCTCCCACTCTGTCTGGGGGTTTCTATGATGAACTCTTTTAATCAGAGAGCAGTGGTAGGTGAGCACCATCTAGTTCTGCTGTCAGTGGAGGCTGTAGTTTGTGTGACCCATTAATCTTTGGGACTAATCGTTTCCTTGAGTCTTTGATTTTCTTCACTCTTCTTTGTTCTGGATAGGGAGAGACCAATCATTGCACCTTACGTGGCTGCTAGTAAGCTTGTCATATCCAATCACTTCACACCAAAGAGGAAGGAGCCCTGGTTGGATAATGTGCTGGATTGCTAAGCTCAAGGTCAAAAGTTTGAAACCACCAGCCACTCCAAGGGAGAAAGATGAGGCTTTCTAGCCCCATGAAGATTTACAGTATCAGAAACTCACAAGACAGATACCCTCTCCTAAAGGGTCGCCTTGAGTCAGAATCAATTCTATGGCAGGATGTTTAGTTTTGAGTTACTCACCAGAGTAAGATGCAGCATATTATCTTTGTGAACTATGTGAGGCCAATGGGCTTTGCCCACCCACTGTACCCATGAGTGTGGTTTCAAATCTTCAGGCCCAGTGACTCAGCCCTTCAAAATGGTGAGTCATAATCAGGAAATTTACATAACCTTTCCCCTTGTTTCCTCTACTGTAAACATTGATATATTTAGAGCACATACACATGTATATGTAGAAATATCATCTGCCAAAGCTACCTATAATCATGGGTATAATCCTTTTTGATTACTCAGATCTATTTAACTTGTCTATTATTACTGATAAGGCAGGATTGTATATTAATAGTATTTACTTCTGTTGTATTTGTTTTGTGTACTTCTTTGTGCCTTCCTTTTCTTTAATATTATTTTGTTCACCTACTTTTTGACTATTGCCTTTCCAGGAACCCAAATTAATACATGTCCTTTATCTAATTAATAATCTTCCCTTCCCTTTCTGTGTATTCTGGTATCATCCCCCCTCTGTATATAATTCTTGACTTTTTCTGATAATGGCCCTATACAATATTTGTCTTATTGTGACTGATGTATTTCAGACAGCATAATATCCTCACATTTCATCCACAGCATGAGGCGTTTCACATATTTTTCATCGTGCTTTAAAGCTGCATAATATTTCATTGTGTGTATGTACCTTATTTTGTTTATCCATTCAAGGGCACTTAGGGTGTTTCCATGTTTTTGTTATTATTCTTAAGACTGCAAAGAACACAGGTGTACCTATATCTGTCCATGTCCTGGCTTTTATTTATATATACAAGCTAGTGAGATTGCTCTATCAAATGGTATTTCTAGCCTTTTTAAAAAAGTGACATATCATTTTCCACATGACGGGGTTTCAAAAAGTCCACAGGAAAAATCCATTGTCTGTGATGGAATGGCATAACCTAGTTCACAACTAATACATCAATGTTCATAGAAGAGGAAACAAGGGGTAGATTAAGGAAATGTCTTACCCATCACTACACACTGTGAGCGAATGGATCACTGGGCCTGAAAACTTGGACCCATTCCATTGGGGTCCAGTGGGTGGGCATTAAGATCGATTGCCCTAATAGAGTCCGCCCAAAAGAAAACCCATTTTTCGGTGAAGTCTGTTCATGTCCTCTGCCTATTTTTTAAGTTGAATAGTCTTTTGGGTGTTGAGGTGTTGGTATTTCCTGCATTAGTTTCTGGTTGAATATGTCATGTCCAAGCATTATTCCAAACATTATTTCCAATACGTAGGTTCTCTTTTTACTCATTTGGAGAAATCTTTCATGAACACAACTGTTTATTTTTAGAAGATTCCAGTCTTATCTTGTGCTGTTTTTGCATTTCTTGTTATGTTTGGTAGTCTAATTATACCATTAATTGGGGCTCATAGTTTGCCCCTAATTTTGCTTTGAAGATATTTATAGCTTTAGGTTTTACATTTAGGTCTTTGATTAATCATGAGTTAGCTTTTGAATATTTTGTTTCTTGTATTTCATTCTTCTGCAAAACAGTATTTCATTTTACCATCACCATTTATTAAAGAAGTCATATTTTCCCTAATTAATGCAGTATCCCTATCTTAATAAACTTTGTTTTAAATATTTTGATATGCTACCAAATAAGCAAGCAACAGCAACCAAAGAACCAAACTGGTTGCAGTCAACTCAACTTAATCGTATAGCTACCCCGTGTGTTACTGTGTATAACTGTTCACAGGGATTTTTCCCTGTGATCATTACAAAAACAGTGTTGCTGGGTGGGTTTGAACCATGAACATTTAGGTTAGTAGTCAAGTATAAACCACTTGTCCCACCCAGAGACTGTTTATATATGTTGCAAAGACTCTGAAATTGCCATGTTCACCCCGAGGCAGCATAGGAAATTACTGACATATCTAAGAATGAAGGAGATAAAAACTCAGAAAGGGAATTATTTTCCCATCCTGAACTCCTAGAGATGAACTGTCCATCCCAAGTATGGTGAATATTAAAAATGGATCCAATTAGTCTTTTCCATTTTTAAATTAAGACATGCATAATAAAATCATAGATATATGAATTGGTTTGGGGATCATACTTAATTAGAGCTCCAATCTAAGAAAAAATAATTCTTGTGATATGATCCTACTTGATGCTCACCCTCACAAAGCAATCAGTGAATATGAGTGCGATAGCAGAATCTGGTAAAGTAACTAGATGGTGCCCAGTTCTCAGAAAGAATAGCTTCTGCGGTCTTAAAGGCTTATCTTCAGATAAGCAGCCATCTACGTGAGGAATCAACTAAGTCTGCTTGGAAAAAGGACACCGGCCTGTGTGATCCAAGGATTGTAAATAATACAATCCAAATCCAAAGAAGGAACTAATATCAGAGCTTAAATTGTGACCATCCGACTTGAAAATGGCAATGGATGACAATGGAAGCCCAAAATCTATTTGCAGGGTCCACACGTATAGTAAGCCTCCTCTGACCATAGTTGAGGGCTGGGAATAGCATTGTTAGCAGACAGTGAGCATTATGAAGTAGATTATGGTAGATATAGTTAGGTTAAAATGTAGTATCTTATCATTTGATCTCTCGTTTGGCCCAGCTAAAAGTTGTTTCAGTTGTTTGTTTGTTTTTAATTGTGAAGGGGAAATGCCTGTGGCTTAAGCCTGGGGTGAAGCCCCTCTGACCATAGACCAGGGATGCTATTGGATAGTGGATTGTTACAGATGTAGTTAGCTTAAAATTTAACACTTTAATGCTTAGTCTCCCCTTTGTCCCATTTTAAATTTATTCTAATTTCAATATTTTGTACTTTTTTCTGTTGAAGTTTTCCTGTTTTACTTTGTTGTTATTTTTAGCTTTTTGCTGTTGGTGATGTATGTTCTGGTGTTTTTCTGCCTATGAAGTCCACGGTTGGTCAGTCCATAGAGACAGTAGCTCAATTAATGGTTTCTTGGGGGTATTCCAGGGAAGGCTGAGTGGAAGTGGGAAGCTAATAATAATGAGTGAAAGAAGAAAATGTCCTGAAATTGATTGTCATAATAATTGTATAACTCTTCTGGATATAATTGAACTGTTATGTAGTGTGATATATGGAGTATGTGCCAATAAAACTGTAAAAAAAATGCATACTATATCCAGAAGAAAACAATAGGTTTGAAAATGTATTTTTGTTTTATGTTTGCATTTTTATGTATAGATTTATAATTCATAATGAGAAAACATGCATAATTTCTTGTATTTATAGATAGAGGAGCAAAGAAAATGCTATGCTGATAAGCTAACTAGGCAGCATCTAGACAAATGAATGGTGCAATGAACTTAAACTAAGAACTTAAACTTTTGGATGAAGGTGGGAAGTCTCATTTGCCTCACACCCCTTGTTTAGGTCCAGCTGTCCTTTTTCTCAAGTCTGTCTTGGAGAGCAATATTTCAGACGAGGTGCTTCCCAGCTCTGTCACCCAGTCAACATTATTCACTTAGGGAGCAACGCTGTGTTTACTTTTAGACCATTCCCCATACAGGAAGATGCACAGATAGGGACAGGTCAGATAACAAGATTTCCTATGATTGAAACAAAAACTTTGATCTCAGGAATTGTGTTACTTTTTAGGAACACATAATCTTCAGGGAAAAAATAGTTTCCAATGAATTAATAATAACTTGGGATTCAACATGCTGCAGCTATGTTCACTGATGCAGTTGTTTCTTTTATAGTCACCCTTGATGAGTATTTGAAATTTAGAGGAATTGCAATATGCATGATTTTCAAAGCTCTTTACACAATTTCTTTTTTTTTTTATCACTTGGAAAGAGTCAACGAAAAGGTAATAAGAAAAACTCTGTGGGATATTTTTATAGAAGTGTCAGAGCCAGTAAGCTAACTACATGAAAGAATTCAGATTATACTGACAGCATTTGGAACAGAAACATTGCAGAGACTTTATATCTAGTATTTTGACATTTACATGCCCTTGGAGGGAAAAGTGTACTAGCAAGAAAACAAAATAAGGATGAGAAAAGAGCATACTTTATAGTTAAGAATAATTAGAATTTCAATCTTTCTACAAGCTAAATATGAAATTTCAAAGACCAAGTATCATTGAAATAGAGTTTTAGGAGTTTGCCTAAAATATTGCCAAGAAAGAAAATTCTTCTTTCCCTTGCTAACTCATCCTAGAGTTCCACAATATGGAAAACACTCTGGTAGCCAAATCGAATGCTATCAACTTCTGCTGAAGTCTATTTGTTCTTACTTTGCCTCAGTCAAGATGAAAATGATCAGATCACTGTCAATTCAAATTTATATTAGATGACATACTTGGCACATTTTCCCTACATTAAAACAAATATCAATTATGTTAGCAATGTTACACAAGCCACTAATCCTTCTAGTAACAAATGAATAAATATGTAAGTAAATAAATAAGCAGATAAACTGTTATCATGCTAATATAATCAATCTCAAAATAAGATGCTTTCCTTGGCCGTGAAACCGTAAGTGAGAAAAACTGAATACTGGAAAGCAAAGCAGGGAACAGACCTCTTAGGACTGTGTTTAGTATTATGCTCCAGTTAAACTGAATTTCATTGAGATCTGAATTTCAGGCCAGCCAATTAATCTGAGCCACAGATTCCAACCAATATGGTAGAAAAGATACGTATATGATGTAACATCAATATCACGTGGCCCGACTGACCTGTGGTCACATTGGTGTCTGCTGTTGCAGTGGTCCCACTCTTGCTCCTCTCTCTGTCCACATAGGCAGAATTATTCTGACACCCACCTGCTTCTTTGGGATTCGGGCCGGCTTGACTAGAGTGCGGTTTCTTGGCCATGTCTACATGGTGACTCTGAAATGATACAAACTACAATGATCAATTTAACAAGAAAATATAAATATTCACCAAAATAAGTGCACCCAGTGATGTGACATTCATCACAGGACAGGTCATTTCTATAATTCTGAAGTGGAACATTCTACGGGACAAAGCGAGCTGCAAATTGTGTTTTCAACAACACATCTGGTAATCTAGGTGTGGAACATTTAAGGCAACCGAAGTAATGAGAATTAGATGTCATCTCAGCCAAACAATATTATCTTAAACAATTATGTGTCTTACTTTACTCTTCTACATTCCATTAAATAAATTTTCATTTAGACTATATTGACTCATTTTTTAAATGTTTATAAATAATTCAGCATTTCATTCTATATTACATATGTGTGTTGGACAAATGAGTGGATTTCAGTTACATATTATCAATATGCTTTATATAAAGCAAATCATCACAGTTACTTTAAAATAACCCATATTTAAATTAGCATGTCAAAAATTTGACAGAGATCCTCTCATCTACTTAAGAATAATAATTTATCATAACAATGGTGTATTAAGGTAAAGTATCAACAGCCTTAAAACCTCACATATAAGAGATTTCATAGTGTGTGATTTATACTGATATACTGTATACTTCAAAGGAATCATCAGATAGGGGCAAAAAATTAAATAGAATATTAAACTTTCATTACTTTTCTTTATACCCAAACTCAGACTAAGAAGCTTTACAGTTTGAATGCAGCTAACACTATTCAAACATTCAGAATTAAAGTTAGCTGGTCATTTTTGCCATCCAAACCAAGCACTTTGGTTTACTTAGCATAGAATAACAAATGTTGTTGTGATAGGTGTTGTCAAGTTGGTTCCTATTCATAATGACACTCTGTACAACCAAATAAAGTGCTGCCTGACCCTGAACCACCTCACAATTGTTCTTATATGTGAGCCTATTGCTGCAGCCAGTGTCTCAATCCCTCCTGTTGAAGGCATTCTTTATCACGAACCTTCTACCTTGCCAAGCAGGGTCTCCTTTTCCAGGAACAGATAGCCCTGATAAAATGTCCTAATAATTAGTGAGATGAGTCTTCCCTAAACATCTTCCTGTAGACTGTCTGTACTACAAAATGAGGGTCAGGATGTGTCCCTTGACTCACTGCGGTGCTCCTTACTTAACTCTCTAGTTGATTTGCTCTTCTATTCGTTCAAGTAGGTAAAAGACTTGCTCAAATGGCCTCAATTCTCACCCCTCTCTGAATTCATTCTTCTATTAAGACAGATGGGGAAAAGAACATGATACGGTCTAATTCTGAAAAAATTGGTTACTGAAAACATTATGAATAGCATATAAAGATGATCTGATATCATTTCAGATGATGAGCCTCTGAAGTTGAAAGGTATTAAAAATATGATGAGAAGAATTGCCTTCTGAATGAAAACTGTAAAATAATGATATAGATGGAGTATAATTCTGGTGACATTCATTGCCAATGTAGCATGAATCAAAATAAGACAAAACAGCTGCACACCTCCATTAGTAATTGAAACATTAATTATTTATTAAATAAAATTAACATTTTCAAACATTAAATTAAATGCATACAAATCAATATCTTAGGCATTAGTAAGTTGAAATAGATAGGTATTAGCTATTTTGAATCAGATAATTACATGGTTTACTATGCTATGAGTGACAAATTCAGGAATGGCAGCATATTCTTCTTTAAAAAGATTTCAATATGTATCCTGTCAATAGCTATTTAATAAGAGCATTAGTCAAGTATATGTACCAATAACTAATGTTAACCATGAAAAAATGAAGATTTTTATCAACTTCTATAGTATGAAATTAAGATGCATTGGTAATTACTGCAGATTTAAATATAAAGGTTAGGAGGGGTAAAAAAGGGTTGGTGGTTGGAAAATGTTGATGTGGTGATAGAAATTACACTTTAGATCTAATAATAGAATTTTTCAAAATCAAATATTATTACCGACAACATAAATGGTGACTACAAATAGACCCCACCAGATGGAATATACAGAAATAAATTGGATACATTTCTGGGAAGAAATGATGGTCAAGCTCAATATATTGCTTGGAACACCAATTTCTCACCCATAAGTTTAGAATGAAGCTGGAGAAAATTAAAACAAGGACATGAGAGTCAGAACATTTGGTTGAGCACATCCCACCTGAATTTAAAGACCATCTCAACAGTAGAACTGACACATTGAACACTAATGACTGGAGGTAAGCCAAATTGTGAGATGATATCACATAAAAAAATTATTAAAACTAAACGAAAGAAAAAAAGATCAAAATGGATTCAGAAAAGACTGAAATTTGTAGAATGTAGAAAAACTAAATCAAATGTAAGAAATGATGAAGCAAAAAAATGGAATAGAAATTTTCAAAGGATAGCTTGTAAAATGTTTGAATAAAATGTGAAGAAACCTGTAGTCAGAAAATCAAAAGAAAACAAAATATGCTCAGCTTTTCTCAAGTTGAAAGAACAGACTAAAATCACTTGCGGCCTTGAGTTGTAATATTGAAGTATTATGGGGAAACTTTGATCCTCAAAAGAACATGGAAGAAATACACAGTCATTGCCAATCCTTACGCCCCCTTCCCCCACATTAGTTGACGATCAGCCATTTCAGAGGATATTAAAGGAAGATGTCCGAGCTACACTGAAGGCATGGGTGAAAAGTCTCTAGGAATCAACTAAATGCCAGCTGAAGTGTTTCAACAAACAGATTTAGCTCTGGAGATGCTCACTTTTCTATGCCAAGAAATTTGGAAGACAGTTATCCAGCCAACCTAGTGGAAGAAATCCATATTTGTGCCCATTCCAAAGAAAGATTATCTCACAGAAGGTAGAAATTATCAAATAATATCATGCACAGTAAAAATTTGCTGAAAATAATTTTTAAAATAATTGCAGGAATATAAAGATAGAGAAATACAAACCATATTTAGAAGTTGTAGAATGAGATGTCAGATGGATCTTGGTTGAAAGCATAGAATATTAGTAAGATATTTACCTATGCTTTGATGCCTATGAAAAGGCATTTGATTTGTGGATCATAACACACTGGACAGTACTGAGGAGAATTGGGATTCCAGAACAGTTTTGTTCGTATGGAACCTGGACATATACCAAAAGATAGTCCTTCACCTCCCAACATAATCGCGGAAGACAAAGCAGGTGCATAAGCAAATGTGGTGAAGAAAACTGATGGAGCCTGGCTATCAAAAGATATAGTATCTAGGGTCTTAAAGATAAACAAGCAGCCATCTAGCTCAGAAGCAAAAAAGCCCACATGGAAGAAACACACCAGCCTGTGTGATCTCGAGGTGTTGAAGGGATCAGGTATCAGGTATTAAAGAACCAAAAATCATATCATTGTGAATGAAGGGGAGTGCAGAGTGGAGACCCAAAGCCCATCTGTGGGCAACTGGACATCCCCTTATAGAAGGGTCACTGGGAGGAGCAGGGTGCAGTGTAGCACCGATGAAACATACAATTTTCCTCTAGTTCTTTAATGTTTCCACCTCCCCACTTTCATGATCCCAATTATGCCTTACAAATCTGGCTAGACCAGAGGATGTCCACTGGTACAGATCAGAGCTGGAAAGACAGGGAATTCAGGACAGATAAACTCCTTAGCACCAATAATGAGAGTGGTGATATACCAGGAGGGGAAGGGGAAGGTTGGGGTAGAAAAGGGGGAACCGATCATAAGGATCAACATATAACCCCTTCCCTGGGGGATGGACATAGAAAAGTGGGTGAAGGGAGACATTGTACAGTGTAAGACATGACAAAATAATAATAATTTATAAATTATCAAGGATTCGTGATGGGGAAGGGTGGGGGAGGGAGGGGGCAATAAGGAGCTGATACCAAGAGCTCAAGTAGAAAGAAAATGTTTTGAGAATGATGATGGCAACAAATGTACAAATATGCTTGACACAATGGATAGATGTACGGATTGTGGTAAGAGTTGTGTAAGCCCCCAATAAAATGATATTTTAAAAAAGATAATCCTTCAAATAAAAGGATATTTTGCAGTTTAAAATCAGGAAAAGTGTATGTCACCATTATACACTTTCACTGTACTTGTTCAATCTGTATGCTGAGAAAAGGAATCAAAGAAACAAGATTATATGAAAACTACAGCAGCAGGATTAGAGAAATACAATTAACAACCTAGACTAGGCAGACGACATAACCTTGCCTGCTGAGAGTAATGAGAACCTGAAGCACTTACTGGTGAAGATCAACAACTGCAGAACTCGCTATGGATCACATTTCAATATAAAGAAAACGAAAAATCCTATCAGGTGGACAAATAAGCAACATCATTATAATCAAAGAAAAGACCAACATTGTTAATGACAACATTTTACTTGGATGATTGTCCATGCCCCAAAAGCAGCTAAATTAAATGATGTATTACACTGACAAATCTGAGACAAAAGACCTCTCTAAAATGCTTACAGGTAAGATGTCACTTTGAGAACTAAGGTGGACCTGATCTATGCCATGGTCTTTTAAGTTGCCTCCTACGGTGGACAAGACTAAGGCAAGATTGATGCCTTAGTATTAGGTGCTTTTGAGGCATATTGAAAATACCACAGGCTGCCGAAAGAATGAATAAATAAATCTCTCTTGGAAGAAGGATAGCCAGAATGCTCCTTGGGAGGGGCTCTGATGACTTTGTCCAGCGTATTTTGGGCATGCTGTCAAAGGAAACCAGTCCTTGGAGAAGGACCGCATGCTTGATCAAGTCAGTGGAAAGGAACTCCCTCCAGTCGATGGACTGGCACTGTGACTACAACAGTAAAGATCCACAATGGCTGAAACTTAGACATGACTGTGAGGATGGCGCAGGACTGGGCGATGTTTTGGTCTGTTGTACATAGGGATGCTATGAGGTGGAAACAACCTGACTGCACCTGACAACAACAACTCCATACTCATTTGCTTCCCATATAATTTTCCTCT